CTTATTGCTTGCTCCATTATTGATAGTATTTCCTTCCTAACTTTTTGTTTGATGTTGTGTGGAAGGTCATTATTTTCTCTTCGAGTTGTGTGAGCAATGCATTTTTTTTTTTTTTTTTTTTTGTGATGTCAATGAATACTTGTTGCCCCTTTTGTAATGTCAACAAATATTCGTTGTCTCTTCCATAATGCTCCTTATAATAGAGACTTTGTAAATGCAGATAACACCGTTGAACAATACTGGTGTGAGATGCCTTTAAATAACATTCACACTAATAGTACTTGCTTGATAATAGTTGCTCAAAAAATAACCACCGAATAGTAATCCATATAGTGATCAGCATAGAGAAATTGTATAGTGAAGAGAATTGCGATCTGTAAATAGTAATAGAGGATAGAATAGTAAAACTGATCAATTAGATGCCACACTAATTCGCATATATATATATATATATATATATATATATATTTCCTTTACCATCATGTGATCTACTTATTCAAAATGGGATTGCCTTTGCTTGTTCAAACTACAGTGTCAGCAGCGATACTTTATTCCTATATAATAATTTTAGTTGTTGCTGCTGGCTCCCACAAAGTCTCACAGACTTCATTGGCTCAAAGCCATTTTTAATTATTGACATGAGAAAGCAAATGTATATGGCCAGCATTCTAAACATATCTAAATGGGTTCGACACTATGTATGGAATCTATATGAAAGTTTTGATCTGATGAAGCTATTCAACAGCTATTTTTATGGTGGTTTGGGGAAAAACTACCCTTAGTGAAGCCTATTATGTGTTCAATTTCCTTTTCTCCTATACTAAATTTATTATAACTGATCCATACATTTATTTGAAGTGTTTAGTATTTACTCATTCCACAGCTTGCGTTTTTGTGATGGATTCAGTATATGAGGTTTCTTTCCATTTCCACATCATAGTTTCTGTATTGAAAAGATTAATCTTGAGTCGTATATCTTTGAACATTTGCTGGAGAATGTTGACTTTCTTTTTTTTTTTTTTTTCTTTCTTTTTTGTTTATGATCATTCTTATCGCAACTATCAAGGATTGATGCTAGAGCTGTGAAACTTTGCATGCATTAATTTCAACTCCTTTTATTGATAACTGCATTGTTTCTTTCCAGGTAAACTGGCATGTGACTGTTCTAAGGGAACTGGAAAAATAACTAGTAGCGACTTTTGAAAATGGACAAAATTGGCATTGTGGTGTTATCATGTACCTACAGAAAAAGTATATCCCCCGCCCAAGGACATTCATGTAAACATGATGGCTATATTAGGGTATGAAGATCTAGCTTAATGAACAGTGCAAAAGTCGGCAACTGAATTTAAGAGGGGAAGGAAGTCCTGAAGATGACCCAAGGGTCTGTATATCCTTCGACAGCCACCACCAAGGAAACATTGTGTTCATCACATTGTGATGGTTGACAGATGACTATAAACCAAATAGCCAGTGCTATTAGCATATCCTGTGAGAGAATGAATATTTCTGTTTGGTGGCTTCCACATCTTCTGATATCTGGTCAAAAATGCACAGGCCTGATCACATCATGGTCAAATCTGACATTGTTTGAAGCCGATCCAGCTGGTTTTCTTTAACATTTCCTAACCTAGAATGAGTTTCGGGCTCATCACTTTGAACTAGAGACAAAAAGACAATACATACAGTGGAAAAACTCCCACTTCACTTGCTTTAAAGAAGGCCATGTTCATATAATCTGCAGGGAACGTGATGGCCTACCAGTTTTTTGGGGATGCAAAAGGTATTGTGTTTATTGACTATCTTCAAAAGAGCCACACCATCAATGGAGAGTACTATGCCAACTTGCTGAGGCAGTTATGAAAGGCTATCAAGTGGTATTGTTTCATCAGGGCAGGACATTGCCCCAACACACACTTGGTCTTATGGGCTGCTATGCATGACTGTGGCTTTGAACTGGTTGGTCACCCTCCCTGTTCTACTAATTTGGCTATCATCTGTTTGCCAGCATCAAAAAACACATGGCTGGAAACCAGTATTGCAGTGATGATGTCATATCTGCCATTGATGACTTTTTTGACCAACAGGATAAAAGCTTCTTCATTAATGGGATCCAAGCACTACAACACCATTGAAAGAAGTGTGTAGACCACAAGGGTGACTGTTGAAATATAAACCTCATTTGGTTACATGAGTATCTTGGTCAACCTATGAACTTTTCAGCCAACCCACATATGATACCTATGTCATCAGCATAGTGTTCTTTATCATCAGTATACTGCCCTTGTTGAGGGAAAACAGGACCACTGTTTTCAATGAGTAGTTATTGTAATATTGAAGATGTCCCTTTAGGTTAGTGGTTATTGGTGTGGAAATTGACATTGGCATACTAAGTTCAAATTCCATCTGCTGCTGTTGCATCTACTTTCTTGCAAATAACCCATGAAAAGGCAAGAATCTAGCTTTGCTTAGCAACCAGTCTAGGCCTAACCATTTTTAGCTTTTTTATGGCTTGTCAACCTTTGCAAGTCATTTAGATCCAGGAAATATTTTTTATATTGTTAGAATATTTTTGAGATGATAATGATTTACTGATATAAGTTGTACTAATTAACGTATAGCTGTGATGGGGCTTCATCCCCCCCCCAGGGTATTTGCGTGTAAGTGAATATAACGAACCTCAGTAGAATTGGAACTGAGTAGAATTTCCAGTTCTGAGCTGTGTAACATGACCCTCTTTATTGATATTAAATATAAATCCCCATCCTAAAATTATTCAATTTTTCTTTTATTTCTTTTATTCTCTTTATTTGAAAATACAGCCTTGACCGCTTTTGAATTGGTTATCAGTTGAATTGTTAATTTCATATGTATTGTTCAATAATTGGGTGTGTCCCTAAACTAACTGATCAGAAAGATCATAGCTGCAGCATTGAAAGACCTGTAAACATTTATTTCTTTCTCCATGAGTTGGCTCTCACATAGGTTTGTCTCCCGATCTTCCAGAGACGGAAAATTGAAATCCTCCAGGATAATCAAGAACTCCAAGGCCAGGATAGTCTATATCTTCCGAGAATAAAAGCAAAACGCTTTCAGCATGATAACCAAATCAATAAACTACATTGAATGACCGAAATACTACTACACATGAAGGGAAATGTTCCAGTCCAGACAAGATCTATCTACTCCAAACAATTCATAAAAGAAATAATGATCAACGGAATCGTCGATAATGATTCAATAGATAAGTAATGATTGAATATTTCTCTCATAAAAAATTTTTATATTTTCTTTATTTTATCCTCTTCTACTTTATTTACTGGACTCTCTCATCGATTTCAACGTATGAGAATCAAGCAACTCTGTTCCTAGAAACTGACAGCCAAACTATGTGAACAAATCATTTGATTATAGTAGTGAAGGCTTTGTATAGAACCAACCACACTTTTTGGAAGAGCTGAAGTCAATGTGCCACAAGGTCCCCAAACAACCCTCTGCAGATTTTGAATTCAGATTTATCCTTCTCATAGACCAGTTGCCACCCAATGCTATAAAACCTGGTCTGTCTGCATCCCAGGTCTGACGATAAAATACATCCGCATCCTGGGTATGACGATAAACTACGTCCAACAGCAAGGCCTCTGATCAGGAGGTTTTGAGAAGTGTGGAACCACCTCTTAATTGCTGGTGTTCCCAGGTCCATCCTGATCCGGGCTGGTGGCACCTGTTGGGGTCCCAGCTATGGCAAATAGTTAACCCTGAAACTGAGGTAAAAAGCATTATAAAAGTGTAAAAATAGGTTTTAAGACCAGAAATACTTTGTAAAAATTATTACCAGAAATAAATTTTAAAAAATCTATTACCAGCTATACAATTTTTAGGAAAAAATATTTCTGGAAATAGATTTTTGACAAAACAAAAATATTACCAGGAAAAAAAAAAGTTGTCAGCATTAAATCCATAAAAAAATCCAAACCAAACCCGGTCTGTCCTGCTATTTACCCATAGTTGGGGGAAGAAAAGGAGGATTCATACCTTTCCCAAGGGTATTAGCATGTAATGGATTTGACTGAAATTTGAACACTGCTCTCTAATTCCTCAATCTGAGCCGCTATTCATTACATCACCATGCCTCTCTATCTTTATTACATTAAATTAAATATAACTTTACATCTTGTGTTTGTTTTCTATATGCTGTGTGTATTGGTCCCGAATTGAGTAGAATATCCTATTTTTTCATTTAAGCAAATCCTGTTCACAGCCATATGTCTGATTTTTGTCGAAAGGTAAAATTTGTAACACCTGTTATCCATTACACCACCAACAGAACTTGGTATTCCCAAATGATCATCTATCCAAGTACTGACCAGGTTTATGGACACATCATGTTGAAACACTGGTTCCTGGTTTCCGGTTTGGTCTGTTTTATGGCAGATCAACTTCAATGGGTTATATAATACCTACAATTTTTATTGCAGGTATTTTTTTCTTCAAAAATCTATTTCTGAGAATATTTTTCCTTCAAAAAATGTATAGCTTTGTAGTGCTGTAAATTTTTTTTTTTTTTTTTTAAGTATTCCTGATAATAATTTTTCTTTCAAAAAACTATTGCTGGTAATAATTATTTTACACTATTTACATTATTCAGACTATTGTTTTCATCATTGTTGCCATATTTATTGCATAATAAATAAATATGGTGACAAAGATGAGGACAATAGTCCGAATAATGTAAATAGTGTACATAATACCTCATCTCAGAAATCTAGACAAATAATTATTTACAAAGTATTTCTGGTATTAAAACCTATTTTAACACTTTTATAGTATTTTGACCCAAGCTTGAGTGTTGACTATTTACCCATACCAGGGACCCTAACAGGTGCTACCACCCTGGGTCAGGGTGGATCTGGGAACATCAGCAATTAAGAGGTGGTTCCACGCTCCTCAAAATCTCCTGATCAGAGGCCTTGCTGTCGGATGTAGTTTATCCTCATACCCAGGACGGACCAGTTCCTGTATGATCACCAAAGTTAAGCAACGTTGAGCCTGGTCAGTATCTAGATGGGTGACCACTTGAGAAAACTATCTGCTGTTAAGAGTGTGAGTTCAATACCTGGTTAAGGCAGTGGAGAACTTGGAGAGGGGAATTAACAGGAGATAACTGATAACTGACATCCATTAGACATGGCATGTGGAACTAGAACAGTCTACCTCAGTAAGCGAAATAAAGGGTTCAGTTTGACATTCCAACCACCTGAAGAAGGCCAGAATGTACAACGGCCGAAACGTAATAAAGATGAGCGCAATAGTCCGAATAATGTAAATAGTGTATGTTTCTGTAGATTCAAGTCACTTTTTCATCTGTGAGGGAATTCTCACATTCAATGCCATGTAGACGGGTTGATATTACCTTATTGTTCAGCACTCCACTTTCTGTTTCTAATGAGAATTTCTGATGTTGAGAGATGTTTAAAAAAAAAAAATAGCTTTTAGCTGCACATAATGCTAAAATTGGAGTAGATAGGTTTGCCTAACGTCTGGTTCACACTCTTCCCCAGTCCTTTGAACCAGAATAGAGGTTTATACCTTGTTTCCTGTTTAGAATTGGGTTTTTGGTTCCTTCTAAAGTCTTTGCATTCATTTTCCCTCTCAGTAACCCCTTCCATCTTAGTGGCATTATCACCTTGCTTGGGGTGAATTTACTGCAAAATTTTTATTTTTCCTTTTTTTTCGCATTTATACATTTTCTGATCACTAGCAATTTCTTTTTACCAAATTTTTGCTGATTTTGATTTTATCACATAATCTGTGGTGAATACAAAATAAAAATAACTCTCTTTTCTTCATTGTTTTCAAGTTTGTGAGCCTATGTGAAAATTTATTTTGACCAATAGAAAAAGGGTTTGGCTCTGGACTGAAGAAAAGACCAAGGCAAAGTTTAATGAGCCCATGTGAAAATTTATTCTGACCACTGGACAAGGGAGTGGCTTACAAACTGAGAAAAAAAGTAACGAGCCAATGTCTAATCACTTTTTGATATAAATAGATAGAAAAAGTTGAATTGAGGCAGAGAGAGAAAAAGAAGAAACAAGCAGAGTTCCACACGTCTGAATAACGCCAATGTCAAATTACACACTGAAACATTATCATCCTCTAATGAGAGCAGGGCAGAATTTTAAAGAACTCTTTTCAACTTCAAAGTTAAGTACCTTAAAATATATCTTTTTATTCATGTCTAATACAACCGTATAACTTTTATGTGAAAAACGAATTCTCTCTCAATTTGTTTTAAACATTTTGGAATATTACTTTGTGTTCGATGATTTAATATGAACATTTCTCTCTTCTGGACAATTCATGGAAACTACAAACTTTAAATATTTGATTCCTTTTCCCGAAACAAGCTACTGACAACTCCAAATGTGTAAACTTGTAAATAAATTCCTTATCTTGTTTTGTTAGATATAACACGTGTGTTTCCTTGTTATTATCCCTCAATACTTTACAGCTATGTCTCTTAAATGCTCTTTGAAGGCAGTCTTGGAGATTAAAATTAACAGAGTAACTATCAATGCTTTAATTGATACAGAAAGCTTTACTACAAAATTAAATGTTTGCTTTTTTGTTTACAGATGTTTTTTTGCAAATTAGGATCTGCACTTTGCAAAAAAAAAATCCTTGACAGCTGAAACAAATTTAAATTCTTCCTCAAGTTTGTTGATAGTGATTTCCTCAGCCATATTTTCAGCGGTTTCATCCCCACTGTCTTCAGCCTCTTTAAATGCATGCAGTTTATCAGATTGAATTGGGTCACTTCTGCTTAACATTGCACGCGGATTGAGCAGTTTTTACGTGTCTTGCTGCATCCGTGTTAAAATCTTCATTACCAAGTTGCAGTTATTTCTTTGTTTCATTTCTGAGACAGGAGCTAAGGAAATTGTTTTCCCAATGAGGGAAAGCGTATTTCCAAACTTCTGGCAGACAGGAACATCCAAGAATTATCTAGATGTATGTTTTCTGTGGCTTTGACTTTGCTAAAAATGGGATCTGCTCTTTGTCTTTTTTGTTATTGAGATTTATTGTAAATAAAATACAATTTTGGCACAAGGCCTAAAAAGGGAAAGGGTTAAAGCTGGTCAACACTTACAATCTTATACCTAGCTAATCCAATTCACAACCGATTCATTCGTTACAATTTGCACATCCACCATAAGAATTCATCTATCATCATTCAATCCTCCATATATCATAATACCGCAATACTCTCAGGGGACCTACAAAAACACATCCTCATGACACAAAAATTTAATGAGCATAAAATGTATATACAAAAATCTGTAAATGATACACGATATGAGGGGTGGGAGGGGATGAGCCCAAAACATGAACTAAAAATATCAAAAAACAAAGATAACTGATGTTGATCCATCAAGCCCTCAAAAGATTTAAGAGTTGCCGCTGTATTCTGTCTTTAGACAACATCAAGAGGCTCTCTTACTAATGGAAAGGATAAAATAAATATGGCCATGGGGAAGGTAAAAAGCTGACCCAGTCGAGATGAAAAAAGGGGCCACAAAAAACAAACTGGGGAGGTTGGGAATCTCAGCTTGGATCATAATCAAAGAAGGAGATGGGAACAGGCTGGGAACATCACTTACATTAACTAGGTACACAAAAAAGGGTCTAGCCTAACCAGAGGAGGGCTCCACAGAAAACCACACCAATGTGACTTAGGTGAACCTAAAAAAAGAAAATCAAGGCTAGCCCCATTCACATAAATCAGACTCACCTCAGTCACCCGCCTTCACTGAAATCTGCCCAAACCAATTGTTTTCTATCAGTTCTAATCTTCATCTTGAGCTGATGCCTAAAAAATTTAATCGTCTTTTTTGTTATCTCTCCTAAATCTTGTTCTGCCATCTATTTACTAAAGCTCACTGGGTAGGTTATACATTGTTTTCCTCTGCTCCTATTACCTTCAATCTGTCATTTAGTATCATATTTTCCAAGCACTTTTTCCTCATTAGGTGCCCTAGAAATTTAATCCATCTCTTTCTGTTAAGTATAAGTGTCCATTTTGTTTCCATTTTCTTTAAAAGTTTGTCATTGCTCATATATTCGGTCTGTGGAATTCTCAGCATCCTTCTGTAGAACCACATTTCTGCTGCTTAAAGTCTTTTCATCTTTAAGGAGATTATCTAACATTCTGTTTCTAACAAAGTGTTCCTGTTTCTTAATATGTCACTTAGCTTTTGGAAGGCATCTTTCAGTATCCCAATGCACCTTTGAATTTCAGTATCACATTTTCCATCCTCTGTTAAGAAACTTCATAGATATTTAAATTGTTGTACTTGTTTGGTTTTGGTATCTTCGATTTGTAATTCACATGTTGGGCTCTTCTTTTTACTAACAACCATACATTTCATCTTCTTGCAATTGATGTTTAGTCCAGTCGGGTTACTCCCTCCTTATTTTCGATACTGCTACTAGGGAACGCTCTCAGTATTATAGTCTGGGATATTTTTCTCATTTTCTTCTTACGTTAATTGCTTATTCATCAACATGTAACCTCTAGTGGGGAACATGCTCCCTTTGGGAAACACATAAGCAATACATGTATGTACATATGTATGTATGTACATATGTATATTCACTCACTTTACATACTTTGAATCTAAAAGATTTCCACATTAATTTGTTACACACATTGTATTTGTCACTTGTATACTTTTCCTGTTAATACATTATCATTTGTTTGTACATATATATTGGTTCTTGTCATTTTTCTACATATTTTGTTATGTGGACTCACATCCTGTGAATCCACTACTTTGTGGGCATTTCAGGAGACACACATAACTAATGCCAATAAGTTGGGAAACACATACACTGGCCCACAACAGTCCATTCTTCCTTGTAGTTTCCTTTCTGTGTTTACTATCAACACTGTGTCCTCTGTATATCTTGTTAAGAATATGGCCAGCAATAATAAACCCTGGTAGGACATCTACTTCTCTCACAATTGTCTCACTGTATAAGATGACTAAGTCTGCTGAGAAGTCACATCCCTGTCTTACACCACTTTCTATTTGTGTGTGTATATATATATATATATATATATATATATATATATATATATACATACACAACAGGTGTCCCAAAATAATGTATACACTCTTTGAATCATAACTTATTCAATTTATGTATTTTGACTTGTAAAGAAGATTAATACAAAAGAAAGAATGCACATTTAAAGAATTTGAGATTAAAATATACAAAAAAAAAGCATAGAAAATTAACTTTAATAAAAGCTACTTGGTGCAATGCCAAAATGTTCATATGAGTTCACATCAAATGCTCAAACTGGTTGCTGTTCTGTTCAGTACACTTTTCATATCTTGAAGAAATAGACCTACAAATGTCCAGTATCATTTCCTCTGGTATTTGAGCACATTCTTCTTCAATTGCTACTCTCGTTTCAGCAATTGTTTCAGTTTTCCTGCCGTAAACTTTGTCTTTTAGAAACCCCCACAAAAAGAAATCCCAGGGTGCCAAATCTGGTGATCTACATGGGTATTCAACTGTCCCTCTTCTTCCAATCCATCTGTTTTGAATATTTTCATCCATAGAAGTTCTCACGTTATGGTAATGTATTATTAACTATTAATATTTAAAGTGTGCATACATTATTTTGAGACACTGTATGTATGTATGTATGTATGTGTGTGTATATATATATATATATATATATAATATATATATATATTTATTTATTTATTTTTTTTTTTTTTTTTTAAGCATATCACCTCAAATAAGGCAGTTGCAGAGAATGAGAGCAAAGGTAAAAGGGTGTTTGGGGAAAAGGATAAAGAGAAGGATGGGGATCAAGGCATCAGAAGATGTCAATTGGCATTACATTTAAATTTTTGAAGATTATAGTTTTCAGAGAAGCAAGTAAGAGGAAGGGAGTTTCACTGATGGGAAGTGTGAGCGGAGAGGCTGTTGGAGTAGAAGAAGCAGTTACATTTAACTGTTTCAACAGCGAAAGTGTGGGACTGAGATGCCAACCTAGTAGCAAGCTTAAATTCATGCA